TGTGTGACAAAGTGGGGAAGGATTCATTTTAAGAACAAAAGTAATTTAGTTTAATGCAATAGGACCTGTACAGCAGCTGTGCAGGTTTGTGTGTCTGGACACGAGGGATGGGCAGCAGCATCTGAAGCAGAGCACAAACCAATGTCCCAGTTCCTGCTGGCCCAGCTGCAGACACGTGTGCTGGGTTTCCTCAGGGCCCCTGGAGATGAGCTTGACTTTTTTCTGCCCCACCTAGACAAAGCAGCTGGATTTCCTTAACCTCCTCATTTCTGACAGTGCCTTCTATTTGAAAGGAAATGGCTAATGGCATTCTGAATGTTCACTGTATCCTATGGGGTTTTTCTTTTGTTTCACTCTGCCTCAGCATCCTGAGGAGGAGCCAGGAAGCCGGGAGAGCACGGCCTGGCCTCCGCCCTGGGAGGGACCCGGCACCAACTTCACTTTTTGCTTTGTTTTTCCTTGCCAAGTAACTCGTGCAAAACGGTGCTTTAAGAACGAGGCTGTAGAAGTGAATTTTACCATTTTTTTGCCCCAAGCTCCGTGGCAGCACCCAGCTCCATGCATCCCTTTGCTGTGCTGCTGCAGCTTGCATTCCAGGATATGCCTGTTGGCAGCAGGAATTAGTGTAAGCTGACAGATGTGTTTCCTGTCTTTACAATTACTGTCTGTTTGCTTCCCTCTGGCAGTGCTAAAGAGTGTGTGGAGTGCAGTGATACAGTCGGGGTGAGAAGGATGCTTTAGAGCTCAAAGGCGCCGGGTCCCAGAGAACTGCAGATGGTTCATGCACTATTAACAGGATGCTGGGGAGGCTGTGCCTGTGGCTGCAGCTCCTCAGCTGCTGCTGGTGCTCACTGGAACAGCACAAACAGGGAATTAGAGCAGGGCTCCAGCACCAACAGCATCCAGCGTGAACTTCCTTGGAACAAGAAAGAGGAATAAGGCAGTGTTTTTTAAGCTTCAGTTTCCTTTCAGGGATGTTCCTCTCCTCTGTGGCTTTTTGTGCCTCACCAGTCCACATCCTCCTGTGAGTAACTGCATGCTGCTGGAAGCAGGAGGAGGAGCTGGGATCCAGCCAGGCTTGGTTTGCTATATTGGGAACAGATTTGCTGGTAACTGGAGCTGCTGATCCAGGCCCAGCCTGTGGTTCCTGTAGGGGCTGGTGGATGCCTGTGAGGACAGAACTGCCCAGGCTGTGTCTCAGTGCTGCAGGCACAGGGAGCACAGCTCCTGTTTGGACAAATAGCACAGGCCCTGGGCAGAGCTCTAGGAGCATTTTCAGCTGCTGGTGGGAGTTTTGTGGTCAGGGCTGATTCGTGTTCAGTCTTTGGGGTCTCAGGGTTGTGAAGGCTGCAGTGTCCCTGCCCTGAGCTGGGCAGTCACCAGAGAATGGGGCAGGGCCAGGCAGCAGGTCTGGGCTGGGAGCAAGGGCTGGCCCAGCTCCATCCAGAGCTGGAATCCTTGGGTACATTCGTTAATGCAGCTGAAGCCGAGTGCTTGATGGCTCTATGGCCACGCTTTTAATTACCGGTGAAATAATTGGCACTGTGGCTACTGGGAGGATGTGAGAAGATCAGAGGCTCAAGGCTGTTTTTCCTGGTGCCTCAGGGGTACCAGCAGCTTTCAGTGTCTGTATAATTAAAAGCTACAATCTTTCATGTGCACAATAAAGAGGGCTGGGAGGTGGGGAGACTCCAGCCCTTCTGCATTTTATTTATTAGACATAATCAATGACCAGTTTCTCTTCCTCATACAGGTTTTTTAGGAAGCACCAGGGTCTCATAGCTGTGTCCAGTAGCTTAGGATCCACAAGTGCTGGTCAGACTCTTCATGCTGAAGGCTGGAGTTTAGTGCTGGGTGCTGGGGATGGTGCAGGAAGGGCAGCACAACTGCAGTTCCTGACAGCTCTGCTCAGGCTCCCCCTTTGCTCACTTCCCTTTCACTGGCAGGTCCCGCCACACCTCCCACCTCAGTCACATCTTGGAAGCAATCTTGGGTTTCCTTCCTTCCTTCCTTTGTGTTCTGCTTGTGCCACAGTGCCTCCCTCTGTGCCGTGCTCTCCCCAGCCCTGGGTGCACAGGCTGGCTCCTCCTTTGGGATGTAAAATATTCTGGAGTTGAGGAAGATTTAAGTCTTGAGTGAAGATTCGGTGGGAAAGATTCTTCCTGGCTCCTTTGGAAGGTGGGACACACAGACACATGCCTGGACTCTGCCCAGCAGCAGAGGTTCCCCTCTCCTGGTTCCCACAGCCCTTCCAGGAATGCAGAGGATTCCCTCATGTGCCTGTTCTGCTCTCTTGCAGAGGATTCACTCACGTGCCTGTTCTGCTCTCTTGCAGAGGATTCACTCACGTGCCTGTTCTGCTCTCTTGCAGAGGATTCCCTCTCTGTGCCTGTCCTGCTCTCTTGCAGAGGATTCCCTCTCTGTGCCTGTCCTGCTCTCTTGCAGAGGACTCACTCTCTGTGCCTGTCCTGCTCTCTTGTAGAGGATTCACTCTCTGTGCCTGTTCTGCTCTCTTGCAGAGCACTCACTCACGTGCCTGTTCTGCTCTCTTGCAGCTGCGGGAGCTGGTGAGCATGTGCATCTACCCCGACCCAGACCAGAGGCCCGACATCAGCTACGTGCACCAAATAGCCAAACAAATGCACGTGTGGACCTCGAGCACATGAGCCAGAGCCAGCACAGCTCAGTCTTACTTGAATTCTTTTTCTCAGCTGAACGCGACTGGTGCCAGGTCACACAGGTGGGAGGTTGAGCACTCGCAGCAGAGGCTCCATCATTTGCAGGTTATTTGACAAGGACTCTTACAGGTGGTTGTGCTTTAACGTGAAGATTCTGTGAGGTATTGCAAGTGATTCTTTTTATTTTTTATTTTTAAGGCAAATAATGTTACGGATGTAGATCATTTAAGGGTCCTTTCTTAAAACTGTCGTGTGTAATCTAGGATAGCAGCTACTACCGAGGGCTCAGCGTTTGCCAGACCTTCTATCTTAACTGTAATGTGAAATATTGAAATAATTCCTTCAGTGAAATCACTTTATACTAATGTAAGGATTACCATAGATTTTGTGTAATTTGTATAACTGCTACTTTGCCTCTTCTGCAAATGGTTAATAGCAAATTCAGTTTTTACTTGGCATATTTTAAAGCAGCCATTTATGTTTTTATTAATTTCCTCCTCTTCAGACTTAGGAACTGGGAAGGGTTGGGGGGGTGGGAAACCCTTTTGTTTCATTATTTCTTTTTTTTTTTTAATTGAAAACTTAAGAGTATTTTGCTGATGCATTTCTCTGTCAGAGATGAGTTAAACATGAGCCTGAGGAAAAGAAGATAAACATGCCAAGCAAACCCCTACCAGCCTTGCTCCTGCTCCTTTCCCTCATTTTTCCCTTTTGGAATGGTTCTTCACCTCCAGGTTCCTGTTTAAAACCAGTGTTTATCAAAGCCAACAGAGACTTTTACATGTTCAACAGTACATCGGGTACTATCAGTGGAACTTCAGCAGTGTTTTAAACACTTGGAAAATTTAAAAAAAAAATAAATGAAATGCTTTGTGTATGGAATTCTGCATAGGATCAGCCCCTTCTCTCAAACTGTGAAAGCTCATTACAGAATGTGAATGTTTATAAAATCTCAACGTGATCTGAAGGAGTCATCGTCTTTAACTGCATGAAAATTGTCAACCAGCTAAATTCATTCATTGAATCAATGATTTGTTTCCTTACTGCCAATGGAAATACTCACTGCCTTAGAAGAGCCGTGGATTCACGTTCCAGTGTCTCCATTCCATGTGCCTGTCGGGAGCAGCAGGGCTGTGCTCCAGAGGAAACCCTCCAGCCTGTGCTGCTCCAGTGCCCTGCCAATCTATACATTTGTGTCAGACAGTTCAAATGCAGCCTGTGCCTGGTTTGTTTTTTTAAAGAAAGCTTACATCTTTAACTTTTTTGAACTAAGATTAGGGTTAGGGGGTTACATACATATATATGCTTTTAGTGGATTTTTTTAACCTACCTTTCTTTACTTAAAGGAAAACTGCAGTGCCATCTTCAACTACTTCCTGTAAAATTTGGGAAATTTGTATAGGGTACCAAGAAAAGCCATTAATTGCTGTGAATATGGTTGGTATCATTAATGGAAGATGCCACTTACTGAGGCTTCTCAGCAGAAAGTTGAGGCTGCTGCTCTCAGGAGAGATGTGGGAAATTTAAATCAGCAGGAGAATGTCGTGGAGGCACCAAATTGCTCCCACCATTTCCATGCCAACCAGCTTGGTTATTTATACCAGCTCTTTTAGCACTTGCCAGAGTTCAGCCTGAACCTCTCTGGTTCCACTGCAGCTTTCCTTGGAGCCATGGCTTCCAGGGAAGCTCAGCTCAAATACGAGTATCTGGAGAAGTCTGGTCACTTTCTTGCTACATGGAAATTTGTAGTGCTTATAAAGAAATGTATTTCAAAAGGTAATTTTTTGCAACTGTGCCTTTTTAGATAAATAAAAAAATGATTTCCAAAATAAACACCTTTGTTTAAAAAACAAAAAGTCCAGTATTAAAGGTCCAAGTGGAGGTGAATAACAAGACAATCAGACTTGAAATGATGCTGGATGTGCCCTGCATATACAGCAAAGAGGGAAGCAGTAACAGCAGCAGCCCCTGGTGACCAGTGAGAGATACCCTGCAGTGAGGCAGGAGAGCAGTGTCTGTTGGAGGGGGCAAGGGCAGCAATTCAGAACCACCAATGCTCACTGTTTTCTTACATTCTATTAAATCAAAACTTATCAAATTAGACTTCTGCAGAGCAGTTTTACTTCTGCTGTTTTTGTCCCTGGAGTGAGGTAACAAAGCAGCTCCTTTCCTGCCCCCAGTGCCAGGCGGTGCCTGGAGGGGAGCACAGCTCTCACTGCTCATTCCCCTTGGGGTCAGTCCCAGAGCCCTTCAGGGCTGCTCGGGCTCACCTGCTCTAAGGGAGGAGGGGAGAAGCAGCAGCAACAGCACCAGGTACAGACACACAGACAGTGGGCAGAGCCTCTTTATTCTGTACCAGCTGCTCTCTGAGCACCCACCAGGCTCAGGACGTGTCCATGGTTTGCACGGTCTCATCCACCACCTCGAGCTCCAGGTGTGCCACATTCTCTGTGAGAACAGCAGTTGTTCCTTTTTCACACTTGTACCTACCAAACCTAGTAAAGAAATGGGGAAAAATTAGTCTTGAAGATGGTACAGAGGAAAACTTGCATTTAAAATTTTAGAACTGATCAGCTTTAGACATTTCCTGTAAAAGTCCAAAGTAAAGAAGCTGTGCTTACTGCAAAATCTGTACTGACTGCAATAACTGAAAGAGTTTCAGATAAACCAGCACTGCAGGAAACTGCTCACAAAAACACTGCCACATAACTGAAGGGGTTGTTATTGAAATCAGTGGGCTCTCAAAGCGGGGAGGGACATTGGTGCTAAAAACCAAAGAACAAGCAATTTACTTATTTTTGCAACTCTAGAATCATTCCACCAATGTATGTGCCTCCGTTCAGCTGCTGCTACAGCCGCTCCTTTGCACTGTGCAGTTGAAAGTTCTACAGGCAGGGAACGGTGACAGAACTGGGCATTACTGCAAACAGGCCCTGCCAGGCAGAGCAGGGACCCCACAGGAGCCCCAGCCCCACTCACCTGTCCCCCTTCCTGTTGGCCACGTCGTAGGGCCGCAGGAAGTCCAGCTTGCTCTTGCTGATGACGCAGATGTCGATGTTGCTGCCCGAGCCCAGGTCGTTGTAGATGCCGGCGGCGATGGCGTCCCGCACCAGCTGCTTGGCCTCCTCCTCCTGGCAAGGGAAAAGCTGTCACTGCCCCCGTGCTGGCTTTTCCCAGGACTCTGTGTCCCTGTGCCTGTGGAGGCTGAGCTTGGAACAATAAATGATACACCAACCCCTCCACTCGCCTGCACTGCAGTCAAAATGCCGAGATTGTTACGTTTGTACCACTGAAGTGAAACAAAAGAGCAACTTTTGCTACATAATGGATCTAACTGGGACACAGTTACCAGTTAGAAGGAACCCCTGTGCAACAGCGCCCATATTACACAACAGCAGTCAGGAGTATCTAAGAAACATTTCAAAGTCATCAAAATATCCATTAGACTATTCCAGCAGATCTGTAAGATCACATATCCCCCTCAGCAGTGCCCGGTGCTGCTGTGGAGCCTGGGGAGCACTGATGGGGCTGGCAGCCTCTCCAGCAGCACTGGCTCCCCCTGCAGCTCCCGGGCAGGGCTGGGGCTATTCCAAACCAGCAAAGTGCCACACTCAGCTCAGGGCCGTCAGCAACTACCTGACATGGCCTCAGCTCCTGCTGTAACCTTTCCTGATGTGTCATTTTAAATTGTGTCAAAGGATATGTTTTCACTGCCAGACCCCCTCAGGCCAGCCCTGCACCCTTCCCATGGCACCACAGGCCTTGGAGAGCCCTGCCCAGCAAGGGGACATCCTGCACCCTCAGCTCCACTGAGCCTGTGCCCGTCACCTGGCCAAGGGGTCAGAATGCAAGGAAAACATATAAATATGTATAGGGACATATGCATACAACATATACATACACAAATCTTTTCAGTAGCCTAGAAAGTACACACCACAGAATGGGGACCCCTTACTTTCTCTCAAAGGTGTGTTACTTGAAAACTAGAGCTGCCTGTTCCAGTACACAAGCAGCAAGGCTGGCACACATCCATGGACACAGAGGTGTGGACTCATCCCCAGGTTGTGCAGCAGTGGCTGCTCAGCTCACCCAGCAGATCCTGCTGGAATGCTGAGGCTGCCAGGCTCCCTCCTCACTGCTTTGCTGCTGTTTCACACCTTGGAATAATCTTCTGCCACCAGACACCAGGAACAAGAGATGGGGTCAACGCTGAATTTGATAAATGCACCGGCTGTGAAAATGCCTCATTTTCACAGCCAGTGTGTGCCAGCAGCAGTGCCAGGGGCTGCAGTGCCAGGGGCTGCAGTGCCAGCGGCCTCACCCTGACTGCAGCTGCTCCAGCCCCGAGTGTGGCTCAAGGAGCCCAGAACCAGCTCAGCTGCCTCCAGCCTGCCCTGCACTCCCTGCTGCCCCTCCGGACAGTGGCAATGGCAGCATTCCTGTGCCAACAGCCATGGCAGCAGGGCACAGCCTCCACCAAACTGCAGAAACAGCAGCAATTCTTACTTCACTCCCAGCTTCACAACTATTACTCTTTATAAAAAATAATAAATTGAATTACGCTTCCTACCGAGCTGACTAGAACAATACAGCCATGCTGCAAAAATAATTCCTGTACCTTTCCTTCAGTGTTTTGGGCAATAAAATCCTGATAAGCAAGTAATTTTTCACTTAACTGACATAAGACTGTCAATAATTTGTTGCAGACAAAGGTTATTTTAGTACTATAGGGAAAGTAAATAAACCAAAGAAGTATGTGTAGGTCTAAGTGGTAGCAAAAGCAGAGTAATTTTAAGCTATATGAGGGTTAGGTGTAAGAAAAGCAGCTTAGGAAAACTACAGCAGATAGGTGGAGTTTGTTCCACTCCTCCTTTTAATTGCGTCCTTTTAAGTCAACACTACAAACCTCACAGACTCCTCTAATTTAAATCTGACTTGCTTGAAAAATGAACTCTATCATATTATCAAAATAGTTCAAAAAATACCTCATAAAGTGCAGTTGGAAGAGCTGAGCTGTAACTGCACTGAGGCAGCCACTGCACAGAGAGCCCAGCTCCTTCACTGACACAGTGCAGCTCAGGCTGTGAACATGGAATAATTGCCATTAGAAAACCCTGCCTCAGTGCTGCTTCACGCTCCTCTTCTGACAATCTGCAAAGCTGAACAGAAGAGCCACAAGAAAAACTCCAAGTATTCCTTACAGAGATCCTGCACAGAGTTCAGCAAGGACTGCTACTTACAGTCACAAAATAAGGGGTTAGCAGGAAAGTGCTGACACAGTCTCAAGTCCAGGGCCCTCAATGAGTCACTATAATAATTAATCTTAAAAAACCCTAAAAGTTCAGAGTATATAAAAGGAGCACTTCGTGCTTTATGGTTGCAAAGACCAAGCTAACTGGGAATATCCTCCTCTGGGGCCCCCAGCGCTCCTTAAATGAGATTACAGCCGCGTGATGGAGTGCACGGCGAGGCGGCGGTGACAAGCAGCACTTTATGGGGTGATCTGTCTGTCCCCATCCCGGAGCCCTCGATGTGTCCCCTGGCTCCAATGTGCAGCTCCATTTACCCGCGCCTGACAAACGGCAGCGCTTGGCGGCGCGGTCAGCGCGGAGCTGGGGGACAGTTCATTACACTGACCACAGCCCTGCAGGGCCTGCCCAGGGCTGCCTGAGGAGCGGGGCAGCACAGGCGAAAATAAATAACTCAGCATGGAAGGCTCATCTGAAACGCCGTTTGATAAATTATTTATAACGCAGACAATTGTCTGCATTTAATATTGGCGCTACTGGTAGCATCTTTAAAAGATGATTTATGTGTTGTAATGCCATTAAGCTTTATATGGGCCCACTGCTGGCTATAAAGTCTGCTGAGATTTAGAGAATGAGTTTTAAACTGTCACTGCAACATCACAGTAGATAGAGGCTGTATTAAATCTTTACTTTAAACCTGTTATCTGGAGAGTTGCAGTTTGCAGACACTCAGGGCTGATGGATTGCCTCTCACAGCTGCTGTGCCACGAGTCCCAAACAGCACCGAGGAGCAACTTTTACACATTATTCTTGTATATGACTTGGATCAACTTTCTCTGCTCACTTGAGCAATTTCCAAATTTCAAGTGCTACTGAAGGAAAAAAAGAGACTTTCCTACAGGAGATGAGGCTACTTCTACATTGTATTAATACTGTCTTCACTAATAACCTGTAAACAAGTTTATCATTATGCTCCAGCAGCAAAGGGAGCAGCTGGAAGGGCTTTGTCAACACTATTTCCTCACATTTTGTAACTTCACAAGCAAGTTAAACAGGAGATGTTTTTTCCAGATTTTAAAATTTTAGAAATTCCTGATTTTTTTTTTTTCTCTTACCAAAATAAAATTAATCCTTTCTGCAGGTCATTGGAATGCTGTTAGAGATGCAATGCATTGTGCAGTTCTCCAAAGCAATTCTTAGAAAGATTTGAAATGCAATGCACAATCAGTACAGTATCAACATAAACAAGTATTTTTGTAAGAATAAACAAATGGAAATACTTACCATAATGGTCTTTTACAATGAGATTTTTTCAAATACTATCACATAAAAAGTTGATACTACTTAAAATGAGAATCCCCAAGACTTATATGGGAAGCGAAGAAAAAAAAAATCAGAAGCTTCAGGAAGGACAATGGCAACAAAAAATAAATCGATAAAGGAGTGTTGGGAATTTGAGGGTAGAAAGCAAAACCTCTTGAAGGACATAGAGCAGCATAATCAGAGTCTGGAAGAGAATCAGCAGCGTATGGAGAGTGAGGGGCTGGGGTGGAGATCAGTCTGTACCTGCAGGAGATGCTGAAGTCTGCTCTGAGTCCAAAGAGAACAAACCTGAGCAGCAAAGGACTTTCTGTTTCTGGTAAGGGGAGGCTGGAAGGCTCCAGCAGCAAGAACAGATTTGGTTTGGCTGTCAGGAAAGGGGCTGGGATGTGTCCTTTAAACCACTCAGGTTTAACAAGTCTCCCCCCACCCCAAAAAAGAGTGCTTCCAGTCCTGCCTTAGAATAAGGAATGACCCAATCTGTCTCTTTTAATTTTTTTTTAAATTAGACCTATGTGTTTTATGTTTGGATTCATTGTGGCTGAAGTGTCAGTAAATGTTTATTTTTCTAACCATCTTCTGCGAAGAACTTTCAAATAAACTGCTCAGTAGTCCCTGGTAATTATTCTCAGAGATAACAGTTTTTTCCTGTTCTGAGGAAGCTGCCTGTGAGCGCAGGCTCATCCCCACCCCCTCTCTGATATCATACACCACCAGTATAATAAACCACGTTAATATTTCATACCAGGGTGAAATATGCTGGAGTATCAATTCAACATCTGCTGTCTTTAGGGTACTGGCGTCCCGCAGAGACACTTTCAATTTGTAATTGAGTTCTATACTGAATTAATCAGCAGTTTATCTTTTTTAGTAAAATAATGTCTTCCCCACTAACCTGGATTTACATTAACAATTTATGCCAAATTACCTGCCAAGACAAGAAACTTATATGATTCGGAACTACTATTCAATAACATTAGTTGCTGTATGTCATTCCCTACATGGGGATTAGCACAATCCATATTTCCGATGGCACAGAATTAAATTACAAGCTCTTCTCACAACTATGGGATTTCTTTTAACACTATTCCCATTCTCTGAACTAAGAATGATTACAAAAACTCATTCAATCCATCACTTAGTAAAGTTCATGGGATTTTAGGGAACTGATTCTCAAAATTGGAACTGGCTTAACAGCACCAGAGCTGTAAATCCTGCCAGGCTGCAGCTCCTCCTCTGGCCCCTCTGTGCTGCTCTGCAGTAACACACCGACCCTCAGCCACCCAGATATGCAAACCCTGCAAAACACTATGGCTAAAGTTACTTTATGTTACTGTACATAAAAAAAATAATATCAAGCAATAACATGTCTGGCTTCAAATAAAGCAAACTCTGCCCATCTGACCACTGCTTTACCTCTGACAAAAGGATGGAAGGGAATGAAGGTCAATGTTTTATTTGGAAAAGAAGCCTTGGGCCCTCCGGTAATATATCCTTGCTAACACACCAAAATGCTCCACAAAGGCCAGGCTGGCTCCCTCCTCCTCCTCCCCGCTCCCTCC